GTTCCGGTCTTCAAACTGGGCTCGCAACGCCTACATAAAAGCGTCCAGGTTTGTTAGTTCTGGACCCTGGGCGTTGTGCAGCCCCACATACCAAGCCGCCACAGGGCCCCTGAGCCGAGCCGCCACCACATCTACTCGGCTGCTGTCGTCTGGGAACAGGTGGCCCGATCTCTTCACCAACTTCATCACTCAGACCACGAAATAGGAGAGTACCTCCGGGTTCCCATCAAAGGTGGCTTCGATGAGGTCTTTCGGGTGAGGTATCACCCTCTCTCTCGGGCTGCCAGGACGTGGCGCTAAAACCGGGGCATCGGGCAGGCCCGGTTGCGGGGCGTCCTCGAGCCAGGGCGGCTGCTGCAGTGGGGCCGGCAGGGCAACCGGCCCCGCGGGGACTGCCGGTTGGGCCTCCCTCTCCTCTCTGATGGCTTGGATTACCAGCTGCGGGATCGCCTGGATTACGTCCTCCAGCGTCCGTTGCATTTGCCGTCTCTCCCGATCCGCCACCTCCATCCACTGGGCTAGTTCCAATCCTCTGAGGACACCCGGCCACTTCTCACCTTCGTCCTCTCCGTCACCCATGCCTCTGGTAATGGCTCGAATGGTGCCCCAATGTTGAATCTCCAAAGTCTCCAAAATAAATCCACGTTTAAAAGGTTAAAGTAAAGTTTATTCCAAAGCGTTTGAAAGAAGCAGGAACACTGAAATTGTTAGGAATGGACACAAACCCCAAAGGGCAACATAATAAAGAACTTTGAACCAAACTATAACCAATAGATCCCTTTCCCGCCGGCGCGAATACAGAAGGCACTGGCAGGTAATTACATAGGAATGTAACGGTTTGACTTTCTCAAAACAGGTCCTTGGTTCACAGGCAAGAGATACCGCTAACAAGCGTGCAGATAAGAGGGTTTCGCCTTCCCACTCCAGCTGGGTAACCTTGAGCCGTTACAGGCATCTAAGAAAACAGGAATGTAGAGACTACTACAATAGCTGCATAAGGGGGGGGGGGGAAGGGAACACTCCCGGGGAACCTGAACAATTAATGGCAGCTCGCTGACACCCAAAAGGGGGGAACCCCCCTGCCCCGGAAAATCCCTGGTCAAATCAGCTGTCTCTCGGTGGCCCCTGCGTGAGCATATAAGTCTCAGCAGTAGAGTCCAGGTGAAACTGGCTCCAGCTGGAGCTTGGCCGATAACCATGGCCGGGCGACTGCCTCAGCCCCGTCGGGGTCAGGAACACCAGGGTCGATGTCGTCTTAGGAACGGCTCCCACGGTGAAACTGGCTCCAGCTGGAGCTTGGCCGATAACCATGGCCGGGCGACTGCCTCAGCCCCGTCGGGGTCAGGAACACCAGGGTCGATGTCGTCTTAGGAACAGCTCCCGCATCAGCTGCAGTTACCGGCGGCGTGGTAGTCACCGGCACCATCGACTAGGTCGTGGGGGTTCCCTGAGTGGTCGTGGTAGGAGTCGGGACCCCCCCGGAGTAGTCTTTCTCAGGAATCGGTTTCTCCTCTCCATCGCTCATCTCGGTTGTAGAGAGATGCGCGGAGATAGAGAATGGAGGATTTTTAACAGAATGTCAGGACCCACAGCCAACAACGAAGTACACGCATACAGGAACGGTTATACTTTTATTACAGAGCTATAGATGCAGTAACATAGGCACTGTTAAGAATGGCGGCGGCCCAATGGGCATAATAGGATATAGGGTATTCGTATGCACCCCCCCACACACACAGCACTGGCCAATTAGGCACCCTCCCGCGCACGGGTTAAGGCTTAGAGACTGTTAGGTAGCTGAAGCTGAGAACGAACACTCTCCCACGGCACCTAGGGCAATCCCAGACACCACAACACCCTCCTGCACATCTGTATAGATAAGCATTTCGGCGCACAGCAGAGACAGCACAGAAAGGAATGCAGTAGCAATTAACCTGAAAGGAAAGCAATAGTAATTAACCAGACACAGACCAACCTCCCCAACCTTCATGGCAGCATAGCTGACAGAGGGCGGGGAGCTGTTCCTGTTGGCAGCAGAGGAGAGGACTCGCAATAATGGGTTTAAATTAAGAGTAGGAAGGTGGATCTTAGGAAAAACGTTTTTACAGTAAGAGTTGTGCAGGAGTGGAATCACCTGCCTAGGGAGGTGGTGAGCTCCCCCTCCCCGGCAGTCTTTAAGCAGCAGCTGGACAAACACTTGTCAGGGATGCTCTAGGCTGATCCTGTATTGAGCAGGGGGTTGGACTAGATGTCCTTTATGACCCCTTCCAACTTTGTGATTCTATGATTCTAGAATTTTTTACTCAATATACAAACATGCTTGAGGCATTAACACTTGTATTTCCTGTATTTAACAGTCTTTGATAACTTGCATCTCTTGCTCGGAATTATTGCATCAAAATCTGGAGTCAACATCTGTGCTGTAGCAATCTTGACCGCCTGTCATTTCCCCAGAAAGCAATTTCCTGGAGGCGCCCTCTTCGGGGGGCTGAAACTCGGACTCTGTAAATCCAATTCTCACCAAACCTGAAGAGCAGGTACAGGAGAGTCAGCCAGAGATTTCTTGCGAGTTTGGTCTCTCTACATTGCACAGGATCCAGTCTATAAAACTCCTGAACATGCACCTGTCTAAATGTCCTTAATTCAAAACAAAATTCTCAGCTGCCTTGCATGACACAATACCTTAATTTCATGCACGTGTCCAAGACTCTAGCTATAGCCTCTGACAAACTCCCCTGGGTATGATTTAGAACTGGTAAGCTGGGCTATTTCCCCCTTCCCAAAGTGAAACATATTCTGAGCCTGGGGCCAAACTTCAAAAATGCCTGGTGATATTATCAGGAGTGCAATGGGATTTCTAAAAGCCCGTGGTTTCTAAGTGTCCTGGATGCACTGCATCCTCCATGGCATCTCCATAGCACCTGGGGTTACTGTAACTTATTCTAAATGGGCCTACCCTTGAGGCTGACCTGGAAACTCCAATTGGCACAGAATGCAGCTGCACGAGTCCTCATGGAGATGCCACATACAGCACACATCCATCCAGTGCTGTGCGAGCTGCACTGGCTCCCAGTGGAGTACTACATCAGGTTCAAGTTTCTGGTGTTGACCTTCAAGGCCCTCAGAGGTCTCGGACCCACGTATTTTCAGGACCGCCTCTCCTGGTGTACCACCAGAAGAGCATTGTGCTCATTAGATCAAAATCTGCTGGTGGTCCCCGGCCTGAGAGATATCCAGCTGTCCTCAACCAGAGCCAGGGTGTTTTCTGCCCTGATTCCAACCTGGTTGTGGTGACCACTGGTGGCCTCCTTACCTCAGGGCCCCCCATGTGCTGCCTCAGAGATTTAACTTGTGTGGCCCAAAGATGTGTGCTTTAAAGACCACCAAATCCCAAAGCCTCATGGGCGTCTGATGCAGCCTAGGATCACATTAGTAGTACCTCAGGAAATTTTGGAAGATGATTTTTTTTTAATTGCTGGTTTGTGTGGCCTGCTGAGATGGCAATCCCGACGCCTGTGCGCACAGGCACCACACCCTAGGGGGGGTTGGCACAGGCCAACACATTTTAAAAAAAATATCTCTCAAGATCTGTCCAGAAAGCAGAATAGGGCCAGTGATTCAACAGAAATGGAGTATCAGGAAAGAAAAGGGGGAGTAAAACGGCTAGGCCAGGGACACTGATACCTAATAGTCTAACCCTTCCCCAGGAGCCAAGAGCCGTCTCGCTTGGGTAGATCAATGAAAGCTCTGTTCAGCTCCACCGTCTCCCAATCTGCTCTCCCGCTTCCTGTGCGTCTCCGCCAGCTGCTGCAAAGCCCCGGCAGAGCACTATTGATCCGGTGCTGAGTGACAGGAACCCTTCCGATTTTACACGGCGGCAGCTGCTGCATGTCTATGTAACAATTATGCGTGCAACAAGGCGCATGATGAGAGAGGGTCAGTGGGGGGGGGGATTAGAAGAGTGCCGACTTACCCCAACCCAAGAACGGGGATGACTCTCGTAAGGAAGGAAACAGGAGGTAACCCAGTTGCTCTGAAGAAACGGACACCGAATATGGGTCTTGCAGGGGTTGAGACCTATGTATTGAGCAATCCAGAGGGAAACAAACAAACTCTGTCCTTCCAGTCCAGAATGTCTCTCAGAAGCCAGAAGTTCTGCATAAAACAAGGCCTCCCAAAATGACAACTAGACTACAAAGATCAGTTCCGCTGGAGCTAAGATTGCCAGGTGCCCCCCCCCACCGGCAGAGAATGGGGGGCGTAGGGTTTCCAGATCAGTTTGGGAAAGAGGGTGGAGCCTGGAGAGGACAGGGACCTCAGTGGGGTATAATGCCATAGAGTCCACCCTACAAAGCATCCATTCTTTCCAGGGGAAATGTCCTCTGTAGTCTGGAGATGAGCTGTAATTCCGGAAGATCCCTAATTGGAGAAAATGGCTGCTTTGGAGGGTGGACTCCATGGTATTATACTCCACTGAGGTGCCTCCCCACCCCAACCCCACCCTCCCTTGGCCACACCATCAAATCTGCAGGAATTTCCCAACTCAGAGTTGGAAACTCTAGTGGCAAAGGTAACCACTGATGCCATCGGATCTGTGCCACTGCAGGAACTTCCTTCTTTGTTTCAGTTTTGATTCAGGCCAACAGATAAAGGTGGACCCCCTTGACAGCCTTAACTAATGTCTGGTCGACAGGAGAACTACTACTACTATAGGGTTGCCAAGTCCTTACCGTAGGTATAGCGGGGGAGTCCAGCGCTTCTCCGGGAGTTCAATTACGTCAATTACGTCACCCGGAAGTGACGCAACCACGTCGGGCACGCCGGGGACGGGGCCACAATCATCAGAGGGAAAACCATAGTTTTCCCTCGGATGACCGCGGCCCCGCCCCCAATGCGCCCGAAGCGACTGCGTCACTTCTGGGTGACATGCTGATGCCGGGCACATCACGTGCTTTGGGGGTGGGATTCCCCCCGGGGCCCGATGCGCCAGCGGTGGGTAACGGGCCTCTCAGGCAGGGGTTTCCCCGCTCCCCGGGGGGACTTGGCAAGCCTATACCACTACTACTACTTCTTCTTCTTCGTATTTTTCATGTGTGCGTGTGAGTGTGTGTACACCTGGAAGTCATGATGA